AAGAAACTGTATTCAATTGGTGTATGGCTACTATTTTGTGCTGTCTTCAGTTGGAAATATTTCGAATAGCCATAAATGGATCGTCAATACAATGTGAAAATAAAATTATTGAATAGCATGGCATATTGTTCACTATTTAAAGTCAGATAAATAAATCAAAACTCGAAAATAATACAATTTATCAGATGATAATTACCAATCTCTTCATCACAAAATCAATAAATTATCAGACATGTATTTTTTTCATCTTTCGTTGTATGAAAATGGATGAGTTTTAATGCGACAGATGAATGATTTATCTACCTTTTACATGTGGTTATCCCTTACCTATTATAATCTCAAACTATAACAGTTTATTTTGTCGTATCGAACTTAGCAGTAACGTTAGACTACAAGTGATTGACAGCCGTTTTATTATGAATCTAACTGTAAATTCAAACTCCTAGCCACAATTAATGGCTGAAAATATTTTATTCTACATATGTTAAAACAACAAATTAGTACTTGATCGATCCATATCACGTGACAAGTACAAAGTGACGTCTTTATGTCTTTACAACATACAGCTTAAGTCAGATCTAAATACTTATCGAACCACAACTCGATAGCTTCTTTCTCTCAAACTCTGGTTCTTAGTCCAGAAGCCTGTAAGCCAGTCTCCTCAAGATTAGGTTGTATTTTAAACGGAAACAGTTTATATGACAAACATACCAGACCGCTTGGAAGTGGATAGGACACACATTGAAGAAAGCACTTAACTGTGTCACCAGACAAGCCCTCACTTGGAACCATCAAGATCAAAGGAAAAGAGGAAGGCCATTTCTTTATAACTGTTGTTAATTCTTCTCATGTCTGTCTCCGTTTCTCGGAGTTATGTGTTTGTTAGTCTTCCTCTTCTCTTTAAACCTTAAAGATTCTAAGTGAGGGCTTATCTTCTGATACAGTTGGGTGCTTGCCGCCATGTTTGTCCATTCCTGTTTCAGCTCTTCTTCTTGATTTCTTCCTCTGCTCATCAGATGTGGTTTATTCTTTCCCTCAGTATGTTGTTGCTGATAGTGTCTGGCCAGCTAATCCGAAGTATTCTGTGTAGACAACTGGTAATGAACACTTATATCTTCTGAACGATGGCTTTCGTAGTTCTCCAGTTCCACCTTCCCCATACAATAGAACTGTCTTAACATTTCTATTAAAATTTTTGTGACTTTGGTGTTGGTTGATAGCTTTTATGAGTTCCAGGTGTTGTTCGATTGTAGAAATACAGCCCTTGCTTTCCTGATCCGCGCACTAACATCTGCATCGGATCTACCTTGATTGTCGATGATACCGCACAGATATTTAAAGGTTTTTACATACTCCCAGGTATCTTCATCAAGTGTGATTTGGTTGGCGTATGTTGTGTTGTATCGGAGAATCTTGCTTTTCCTTTTGTGTACGTTAAAACCTACTACCGTAGAGGCTGCTGTTGCTTTGGTCGTCTTCTTCTGCACTGCTTGTTGCGTGTAAGATAGAAATATCTTTTTTTCCCTAAAACCCTAACACAATTCAATTTTCAATTCAGTGAAAATAATCACAATCCATCTTACCACTATTATTTGATATTTTGAAAAGATTCACATAATAACACTTAAAATCAAACAAAATTTCATGAAGCTAATCTTTCTAATAAAATACACTTTCTACACCCTATCAAGACTTCTTGCTATAGTTCACAGGGCCTGGGATAATAGAATCACAATAGCTGATCGTGTCACTGTATCATTTGTCTTCGCTCTCCGTCTACCGACTAAGGTGAACTGGTAATAGCATTCAAGCATATCCATTGACCAGCATATCACAATAGTAGTCTAACAATCTTTACAACCCACATATTGATAGTAGTATTCAATCTTGGTCTCCTGTTCATAGCAGAAGTATTCTATGCCATCAGAGATTAAATAATTTTACATGGCTAAATACTTTAGCATTACGGGGTAGTAAAGATTGTTAAGTTACACATTTTTGAAACCATGAATCGACCAATGTTAAATCACCATTAGAAACCTGGAACCACTGGACGGCCGTTTCGTTCTAGTACGGGACTCATCGGTGGCAGCGTGCATCCACGACTCCTGCGCCGCGCAGGATTCGAACCCAGGACCTTCGGTATTGTAGGCGAAAGCCTAACCATCGGATCACTGAGCCGGTATCCAACGGTGTGAATGTCCTGCTTGGTCAATTCATGGAGTCGCGCAACCTCATACACAGTCTTCGGTCGTTACTGTCAACACCCGAACAGGTTGAACTTCACTGGTTACGTGGATGCGCACTGCTGAGGAGTCCCATACCAGGACGAAACGGCCGTCTAGTGCTTCCAGGTTTCTAATGGTGATCTAACATTGATCGATTCATGTTTTCAAAAAATGTGTAAATACTTTTTGTTTTATTCATCTCTCTCTCTGTAGGATTATTACTTCTGTTTATTGTCATTAGTTTTTAAATGTAGACGAATAGAAGATATTTCTGTTGTGAACAGAAAGATAACCTGATTAGATAGACAGAATAGTTAATAACTAGTTACATTAAAAATAGTAATTATACCTGAGTAAGGAAAGAAAAGTTAGGATTTAGTAAGAAAGATTTGTGTAACAAGTAGTTAATAGGTATATATATTGAAATGGTAGGATACTGTAATGTTGGAAGGTTCACAAGAATACGAAGGGCATTGAAGACCATAATGTTACTGATTTGTGTCAACCTCAATCGAAATCCTATTTCGTGTAGCTATTTAAAATGTTTATATATCCGGATGCTTATTGACTGATGCGTGACATAAATCCTATTGATTGGTTATTCCTTCACATAAAATATGAAACCAAAATACAGTGACAGTCAGGACAGAAACAAGAATACTGAATTCTAGAGCTAGCTACAATCCAGAAGTATACTAGATAATGAAATTTTGACCGTCTAAACCTAATGCAAGCTATTGCAAAGAAATACATGGTTGATATTGCGAAACTGTAAAGTCTTTTTTTTGCTGATTTGAAGCATTGTTACAAAACGAACTTAAAATTTTACAGCTATTTTTGTCAACATCATTCCTTCTTCGTTTTTTGTAATTTAATCTCTATATTACTTATAAAAATATCAGTAGGGTGACTTTGATTTAAAATTTTTCTTTTTTCGATTTACAATGTAACTAACCCTCAAAAATCCTCACAGCTGGACTTCAGGGTGATACTAAAGAACATTTGTCTTGCTTTTCCGAAAGGTATTTTGACGTTGGGAAGACCTTACATTTTCGTTTCGATACAAAACTCACTTATTAGCTTCAACGCTTTCATATTAAAACCTTTCTTTACGGTGTAGTAGCATGCTATTTGATAAGCTCGTCAATTGATATGTTTGAACTATTACGAGTTCACCTCAGTCGGTAAACGAGAGCGAAAACAAATGATCCAGTTGCACGGTAAGCTTCTCTAATCCGAGTGTCCCAAGGACTCACTAAGTAGAGGAAGAAGTCTTGAAAAGACGTAGATAGTGTATTCTACATGCACACACAAAATATGAGGTTGACAAACACACAAATCAAGTTTATTTATACATGAAAGAAACGTCCTTGGGAGAGCAATAAAAATAGTGTACTAAAATAATTCATCAACCAATGACAGTCAAGGATTTTCCGGTTGGGAAATGTAGTCTCATGGTCAGCGAAAACAGAAATCCCGAATTAGGACCATTATGAAGTGAGTTCTAGGTATCCGTTATCCTTAACACACTTCTCACATTATCCATATCAAACTTGACTATATTTTCTCACAGTATCAATATGTAATGACTGTATGTTTAACTTTTCAGTGTTTGGTGAATATGAGTTACATTCTCAAGTTATAAATATGAATCTTTCATAAGAATTTCTTATATTCAAACAAATGAACTAGCCTGAAGAAATCTAGTCAACGGTATGTTAGGTATACTGGTAAGAAAGCATTGCATGGCCCTAATGTATAGCATCTATTAAGTATTTATCAAAGAAGTTTTTAATATTTACCCACCGAATTCTGTATTTGATTGTGACCGATTTGGTCTCGTGTGTTGTTATGGGTATGAGGGCGGTTGTCACTTCCTGGCTGCCTACACCGTGGAAGGTTGTTTCTTCAGGGAGCTGAAAAAGATGGTAGATTAGTGTCGGTCTTAACGACCTGGGAGCGTGACCGCAGTGCCTAAGGGACAACTGCTTGAAGCCGGTCACGCATGCCTTTTTTATGAAAGGATTTTTGAGTATCAGCTCTACTCCGAAAAGCCCTTAGAGTGGTCACCCTTACCGACGGAGACGGAAATCCGTGAGATACACAACTTTTGTGACCATTTGTGAAATCGCTATCAGATCCTGTAAAACAGAAGACGTCCCAATAGCCACACCTAATAATACTAATAATAAAAACTCCAAAACTAAAATCAAACACAAAGGATTCAGCCATGTTGAACTATTGAACCCGATCAATGAGAATGAATACTTTTACTACAAACAAAAAAAACAGTTGAACACAAAATAACACAAACTTAATTTGAAAAATTCTGAGTTACAACACACTTGAACAATTGGATTGAAAATCTCTGTTTAATAATTTTGATGTTTGTTTAATATAAAGTAATACAATTTAATAAGTAGTATAAGAGCAAAATACTTCGGATTCGTTGGCCAGACACGATCAGCAACAACCTACTGTTGGAGAGAACAAACCAGATTCCAGTGGAGGAGGAAATCCGGAAGAAGCGGTGGAGTTGGTGGATAGGACACACACTACAAAAAGCACCTAACTGCGTCACGAGACAACCCCTCACATGGAACCCTCAAGGCAAAAGGAAAAGAGGAAGGCCAAAAAACACACTACGCCGAGAAATAGAGAAAGATATGAGAAGAATGAACATACATTGGACAGAACTGGAGAAGGAAGCCCAGGACAGAGTTGGTTGGAGAAAACTGGTGGGCGGCCTATGCTCCGTTGGGGGTAACAGTTGTAAGTAAGTAAGTAAGTAATAAGAGCTGGAAATCTGAGCATTAAGCATTTTTCTTAATTAATAATGTATACACATTGAGTTACTGTTTTCAGATAAAATATTGATACTTAAGAAAATGGTCACATTACACTGTTCACTGATCATGAATATAATAGTCTCATTGATTCTGATGTTCAAGCTGTGACTTTACTAAGAATAATGCGCTATTCAAAAAAGGAGGGAATTGTTGTGATTACATAAAATGCATTATTAGTTGTACAAGTGTATATATAAACATTTGAAACATTGAATTTTGATTTTAAAAAATATTTGCTTTACGCATAATCCATAAAAATTCTTCTTCGCTAACTTCACCGTCGCCATCTTTATCGGCTTCGTCAATCATTTCCTGGACGGAACAACAACAACAGAAATATGGATATGAAAATAACTTAAACAGTCGTTGAATTTAATAGAATGTGGATAACAAAACTTTAACAGTGTTTTGAATAATTTTTTTTAGTCTTTTGTTAGATCTAAGTTGATGTTTTTTTGAGACTGGTTCTAGGGTAAATTTTTCTAGAGAATGGGAGGATTGATTGCTTAGATGTATTGGGTTTGTTGTGAATAAGAGTTACTTTGTTAACTCTGAGTGACCAGAGGCTATCACGATTTGAACTGAGGTAGTTCAGAAATTTCCTGGTAATTCTTCATCCACTTCGACCTGTGCACTTATTAAATATTCGTATACTTATTATAAGACAAGCTAAATAACCAACCAACCAACCAGTACAATGACAACATTAAAGATCAATTCTACGAAGGGCTGCAGTCAATCGTCGAGAAATGTTCACCAAAGGATTTGACGATTCTTATGACAGACCTGAATGCCAAGGTTGGCATGGACAACACTGGATATGAAGACATCATGGGATGACATGGACTGAAGGAGAGATTCGCAAACCTATGTGCCTTCAACAAACCGGTGATCGACTGCACAATATTCCCACACAAACGCATTCACAAAGCCACATGGATTTCACCGGATCACACTACTCAGAACCAAATCGAAAATATCTACAGCAATAAAAAGTTCAGAAGGACCGTGGAGGGCATGAAAACCAAGAGAGGAGCTGTTAAAGCTTCAAATCAACATTTGCTGATTGCCTAAATGAAACTAAAACTGAAGAAGCAGTGGACAACAGTGCGGAAAACATCACAAAAGTTTAATACGGTCCTTTTTCGGGATACCGTAAAACTCAGCGAATTCAAGATAGACCTCAGCAATAGGTTCCAGGACTTGCACAACCTTTGAGAACAATTGGAAATGGATCAAGGAGGCAATATTTCCAACATGTCAGGAGGTTCTGGGCCACAAGGAGTACCATCAAAAGGAATGGATCCTTGTTCAATTCACAGAAGCAAAGAAGCAAGTGAAGAAGAGCATCAGAGCCGACAAACGGAAATGTGTGGAAGACCTAGCAATGACGACTGAAAGGGAGGAAAACGATACTACAAAGAAGCTCGCTGGGAACTATCATAAACCATAACGACCAGTGAAAAGCAAGGAAGGCAAAGTAATCAGCAACATTGAAGAACAGCGAAACAGGCGAGTAGAGAACTTTAAGGCACTCTTGAGTCGACCAGCTCCACTCAACCCATCCAAAATCTAAGCAGCGTCTACGGAGTTCCCAATCAGTATTGGCCCACCAAAAAGTGAAGAGGTTTGCGTGGCTATCAGACAAATCAAGAGCAGCCAAGCGACGAGACCAGACAACATTCCGGTAGAGACAATGAAAGAAAACGTGGTAGCAACTGCAAAAATACTCCACATCACCTTCAACGAGATTCGGGATTAAGAACAAGTTCCAGCAGACTGTAAGGAGCGATACCTGGTTAAAATACCAAAGGATGGCGATTTCAGCAAGTGTGAGAACTACAGATGCATGACCCTTCTCCCAATCCTAGGAAAAGTCTTCAACAGAGTACTGTTAAACAGAATGAAGGACTTCGTAGACGCCCAACTTCGGGATGAACAGGCTAGATTCCGTAGTAAGGATCGATCGTATACCAACCAAATTGCAACATTACGGATCATTGTGGAACAATCAATAGAATGGAACTAATCACTCTACATCAACTTCATCGACTACGAGAAAGCATTCGATATCGTGGACAGGAAAACACTGTGGAGGCTTATTCGACATTACGGCATGCCTGAGAAGATAGTCAACATAATACGGAATTCTTATGATGGATTCAACTGCAAAATCATGCACGGAGAACAGCTGACAAGCTCGTCCGAGATGAAGACCGGTGTTAGATAAGGTTGCTTACTCTCACTCTCTTTCTTCTGGTGATCGGCTGGAATATCAATAAGTCAACATCCGGAGATAAGCACGTGATATAGTGGACTACCAGGACGCAGCTAGGCGATCCGGACTTCGCAGATGATCTGGATATTCTATCGCTTACGCAACAAAAATTCAGAGAGAAGACAACCAAGGTAACAGTAGCCTCTATGGCAGTAGGTGTCAACAGGCACAAGAGGAGAAACAAGATTCTCCAATGCATCACAACATGCAGAAACCAAATAACGCTTGATGGAGATGCCTTGGAGTATGTAAAAACCTTTAAATATCTGGGAAGCATCATTGGCGAGAAAGGTGGATCTGATGCAGATGTGATGGTGCGAACCGGTAAAGCAAGGGAAGCATTCCTACAACCGAACAACATCCACAACTCTAAACAACTATCAACCAACAGCAAAGTCAGAATTTTCAATACAACTGTCAAGATAGTTCTACTGTATGGGATGGAAACTTGGATAACCGTGAAAGCCATTATCCAAAAGGTACAAGTGTTAATTAACACTTGTCTATGCAAAATATCAATCCTATCAATCCCTTGTAGTAACTGGCCAGCTGATATCAGATTTTTCTAGACATGATATCTCTCGTTCAAATATATCCTTGAACTTCTTGTTTCTGACTTCTCCTTTGACTGGATTTGACATTCCTGATGAAAAAAGTGATAAAAACAAAAGCGTTTGCAGGCACTGAACATTTCTAACATCTTTAAGCACGAATTGATAGTGACCAGACAACAAATGGGAAAATTTCGACCCGGTGGTTCAAGTGTTTTAATGAGATGAAAATGTTTTATCTTGGTTTGTAGTGTAGTGAGTGAATGGTCAAAAATGGCTCAGAGATTGATCCTCTATTAAGAAAAAGAAATTAGTATTTCGCTATTACATAGTATTTTTAGTGACAGATAAGTCAGAACTAGCCATAATCTAAGTTGGATTTCATTCAAACTTAAAATGACTCGTCACACTCTTATATTCTGTCAACTATTGTGAAGTAGTACAGTACCTCAACTGCGCAATTAGATAAAAAGAATAGTATAGATTATCTAGTTGGCTATTAATGTCATTCAAAATTGGAAGCTTATGTAACCTAATATTTTACCTGTCACTCTAACGTTTGAAAAATCTTTTATTAATGAGACCTTTGATTGAGTAATTAACTTTGCATTGGCAAATTAACAACTAGTTTCGAGCCCAAGGTTTACTGATGATTATTATGAATTATCTATTAAGATATTAGGAGACTCTTGACAGTATGAAGACTTAAGTAAACTCAATTAGGACAAGTGATGCAAGTGAATTTAGTTATTCTAAACAGTAATCTCTTTTTAAGCTATTGACAGCTCGTAAAATACAGATTTTTTACGTACTTATCAAAAGAAGTATAGCCAGAGATCGATACGAAGCATCTTTATAAGGAATGAATTTACCTGTATTTCCTCATCGGTAATGTCTTCTCCGAGTAACTGGGCAGCGCGTTTAAGTTTGGGAAGTGTCAGTTTGCCAGAGTCATCATCATCGCAAATTTTAAAAGCCTTAATAAGATCTGCCTTGTCAGTTTTTTCAGTCATTTTCGATGTCATAATGTCCAGAAAACCTTTAAAGTCGACAAAACCTCCATATATTAAGTAGTAAATAACAGTGACCAACCTCTATTTTCCGTATCATGCTCCGAAATAATCTGTCTGATATCAGCAGCTGTAGGATCAAAACCTAAAGCCCTCAAAGCAACTTTTATTTCACGTGCTTTAATAAGCCCTGATCCTTCATTATCAAGAAGTTTAAAAGCTTCGAGTAAATCTCGTTTCTGGTTTGCATTGAGCATCAACTTGATATCTGATTTAGGTTTAGACTTTTTTGTTTTAGAAGGGGATATGCTTCTGAAATAAATATCAATGTATTGTTCTATCGTAGATCTACTTGGATCTGTTCATTCTTCACTTTAAAATGTTTTACACCTCAGCCTTGAGGAAAATTAAATAAACAACAGTTGATTTTACCAAGGACATCATTATTTAAAACAAATTTACGGCATCCAATATTTTTTTCTGAACCTAGGACCAGCAAATGGATCTGTTTCAGCTACTTTATTGTTACGTATATTTAGTAATGTCCAATGGATGGCAGTGCAGCCACTCAATTGCATTAGTTCTAATCAGCTGGCATCAGTTGATAAATTTACATGTCCTGAGATTTGATTGAGTGCGTTTGTCTCAGAGTAGTAGGGTTGCCAGATAATAATAGCCTAATAAATATTTTACGTGCTATTGTTCGCTTATAACTCAACGAGAGTAATCTCAGGATTTGGAGTCCATCTTCGTAATTTTTATTTTGCTTCCTTATCACACATTTTGTTTTTCGTCTCTGCGCTCGAAGACTTTTGTGTCTCTTTGAAGGAGATACAGTCCAACAATATTGTTAACTTCAAGATATGGCGACGGGAATGTTCTGAATAGAGATTTGGGGGTTATGCTCGGGTGAATGTGTAGCGAACCCCTTTTTATGGAGAGAACCTCAATTGGTTTAATAGAAACAATAATTATTATAACCACTTAGACCAGTGATTGTTTAACTATACCTTTTGTTCACAACACTCTTTACGCTCAAACCTCCGTTTGTTTTGCTGTCATTTTTGCTCCACTGTTTCTTTAATTTTGCTCGTCCTTTCTCGCACAATTTCGGTATTCCTTCGATGAGACGCAATCGCCAGTAAATATATTCTTAAATATGGAATAACCCTTCTTCTCGATGACTGGTTCGTAATTGCTGTAGTGGTGATCCTAGTCCGTCAGGACACGATCGCCACTACAAAGGTACAAATTTGTCCTTACATAAAGTGAGGAATTGCGTTAGCCTTGGTTTCTAGGCTCTCTATGTTGGAACTCGGAGGAGAAGTGGACTGCCATGGAGTGCTTAAATTTTCTGTGTCACTTGAGGTCACTTGTTTTCTTACGAACCTCTAGTTCCTTGCATCAGCTGCCTGGATTAGTGTCACTGAGATGACTGTTATCTAACAGGTCAGTGATAACTATCAGAAAGAGAAGGGAACTTAAGATGGTCCCCTGTGAACCTGCTGATGCTGAAACTCGCCTGCCCACATGCACTGTAAATACCTCCGTACGAAACTTCATGTTCTCTTAATAGTTTTGGAACCCAGATAGGACTGGATCGGTGGAACTCCTCTTCTCACTTTCCTCCCTTAGGAATGAGGCACTGTGACAAAGTTTGGGGAATATTATATGGACACGTAGATTTTGGTTCTTGAAGTTTGTTCAAATGTCCAATGCTATGAGAAGAGTGGATGCACATGGCCTGCCTCTGCTTAAACCGTGTTTAGGTTTTTGGCGATGTTGTTTTATTAGTGATAATAATTCATTTACTCCCTCTTTTTTTTCATTCACCAGTCCTTCTATTACCTTCAGCAGTATTGAATGTTATATGACTAGTCTGTAGTAGGATGGGTATTTCCTACCTCCCAGTTTCAAGATGTAAAAGGAAGGTTCTGTTTTTTATTCTTCTAGGAATTTTTGTAACTTCAGTGAGTGAGTAAACTGGTGAACCGAGTGTTCCTGTACACTTACACGATTTTCGGGCGTATCATGTCACATCTCTATGACTTTAAATGATCTGAACTGGTTAATTACTTGGCTTCAGGCAGTCTATCTGTATTTTTTCACTGAAGAGACCTGACACCACATGCCGAAGAACATCGCTCTCTTAGTTGGTATTTAGAGCGAAAAAGTTTTAGGCTGACGGCGTCCAAAAACGTGCAATTCAAATATAATGTTTTACACAGCTACCACGAGATGGTTCAAAGAAAGTTACTCATTCCTGTTAAAATAGGATACTGACCAAAAGGCAAGGTGGAATAACGATTGTACATTTGCGGCCATCTCAGATTGTAAAAGCGATTTTTTTTCACTGTTATACACGATCCTCTTCGTCATGACTTTCGAAGGTTTAGGCCGAGCAAGATCCTTGCTAGTGAACACTATGGACCGAGTAACTTTATATACTTCTGTTGATGGGTTGTGAGAAATTTCAGCAAGCATGTACAAAATCCGCATTCTGTCCTTACTAATGGTCCCAAGAAGTGGGGAAATAAATGAGTGTATTCTTAAAAATACGTTTGGAGACACGATACGCTCGGTTCGAAAGTTCTTGATGCAATAACAGCACACCACATATTTCTCTTCAAAAACAACTTTCAAAACACTAAAGCACGAATAAAACAGTAAGGAAAAATGATGTACTAAAGGTCAGTAGTCATTTACGTTTTTTGAGAGATTTTCATTCTAGTTAAACCAAGTTATTGCCTTTCACCGTAGCTTTATGTTCATCCACTATTATCGGTTGTTGAGATATGACGGAAAACTACATTGAGAAGATGGCTTATCTTCAATGTTTTTATTCAGGTTATTTAACCATTAGACCATTATCACTGGTAATGTTTTTCCGTGAGATGCTGTATAAACCTATACTAAGTCTTTCTTGAATGTCTTGTAACAGTCAGATGATTGGTCTCAGTGCAAGAGTATATATTTACGATGACGTAGACCTGGTTTGATATGAGGCCACAATAGAATGTATTCAAGATAACTGTTCCTGTATAGTGGGTGAACCATCTCCAGTTTGAGTGAAGGGTTGGATGATGAAACCAATTCGAGAATTTGAGCCTAATACAATTTTTATTTACTGGATCCAGAATAGTCCTACAGCGAGTCGTATTTACCAAGTATAGTAGGTGGGAACGTAATTATATACACTGATATGTTCATCCTGTAAGAATGGCTTATATCTATTGATAAAACTGACCATCATGAAAAAGGGGTATTGGTATTCTGTCACTGCTTGTAAATGTACTAGCACCAAGTCGTATAGTGAAACTAAAAGATCTGATTATTTCCACTAGTTTGAAATATTTGTAGACTTATAAAAGCGTATTTTTCACTCAACTTCGATAGAAAAGTTACAAGAGTTATAGTTGTTGACCACGCTGATAAGAGTTGGTCTTTGTGTAACATAACCAAACTTCTGCTTTTTTGGCTGATAATTTAAGAAAGACCTCCATACAAGTTTAGTGTTGCTCGTTCGTCAGGGTGAAAATAATCAGTTGCACCGTGTGGTTATCAAATATCAGTGCGGTTAAAATGTGACATGGTACAAAGGAACAGGTTTTACTAGCTCGTTACTAAACTGCTTCATCGGTAAAGCCGTTCTGCACAGCAGAATCTGACAATTAAAAATAAGACTGTCATAAACTTCTTCCATGATGACGCCTGCAAACTGAACGGACTGTCAGCAAATACCATATCCGTCTATGAGAAACGACAAACTGTTTCACTAACAAAAACAAACGAGAGTGGTGCTACTAAGCTGTTTATTGAAAGAGTGGAAAAGGTAAATACTTCATAGGAAATGACATTTATTCCGTTTTCATCGAATTAATTACGCGGAAACTAATGTATTATCATTAACTGACTTCTTTTATGACAGATCTAATAATAACTAACTGAATGTTTCGGCGAAAAAATGAATACAAAATGCTAAAACTGCAGAACTTGAAATAGTTTAATTTCAGTCAAAAAGTTTAAGACAATACGAGATTAGAAATGATGCTATTGGGTCAAAACGTGCCGGTACACAAAGTTTAAACCTACATTGTGCAACTGTAAATAAAGTGATCTGCGATTGACGCTCTTATTGATTATACTAAGAATGTGGAATACTTCTAAAAGACTCTTTAAATAGAAATTTTAGCATTACTTATTTACGCCTGTCATCTCTAATAAGGCATCAGTTTACTGTTATTTGAATTTGGCAACCGTTTTGTCTATGAATTTTCAGTTCTCTTGTATATAGAATGCCATTTTGAAGAAAGATTTTCAAATGTGTGTTATATCGCAGTTGATACAATGTAATCTATGCATATGGTTTTTTGTCAAAATCAACAGAATTTTTTATATTACCAGACGTGAGCATCTTACCGATGCATCACCACCACCCTCCTCGAGGCAATCCTCGAAAGATTGCACATCACAGAGCGAAAACTCAGGTTCATGCACAATTTTTCTGATTGCGAGTCGTCGCAACTTAGAATGCTATCCCACCCGAGGTGACCACATCCCCCCTCAGTGGAAAGCTCTAACTAGAGACTTGATAATCACGTACTTACATACGGATTATCATCTCCCTCTTGGACAAGCTGTTCATGAGGGATATCTTGAGACCTGCTGGTTGTTATCATTGCCATCTCCTCAGATCACTTACTTAGTCTATCTCGCATATTATCTCTGTTTCCTCTCCCTTGCTTACACTTCGGTCCTCTCTCACAATCTTCACTACCAATTAATAAACTAAATCATCTATATATAACTTAGTTCTGAAATATTATTTATATTAGCATAAGAATTTTATCCTTATTATTCTCCACAATGCAACTAACTGATCTCCGGTCTGGTAATGTGAGAGCTGCTAGTACCCAGAAAGCCTACTGTCCTAAAACGAACGTTTTCATTCAAATCCCGAGACATACAAACCGACAACCAACTGCCAACTAACTAGAACTAGACAGTCAAGTAGCTAGACCCCCAATCATCGGACACTACTGAACACCCGAAACCGTACCGAAAGAACAAAAATCGAGCGCAAAGAAATCAGTTGGTTTATACTAGTTCGTGAAAAAGATATTGTATATTGCATATGAAAATATGTCCAACGTTTGTTATTCACGGTAAAGCTGCGGGTTTTTTCTTCAATGTAGTAGCCATCATTCTCATTTTTTATCAACAAATTATTTACTTTGAAGCTTTACTAAGAATTTCAAATAGATAGTTTTGGAATTTAGTGGAACCCATCACTTACATTTTGTCACTGGTTCACGTTTACCTTTGTAATAAGTTTGACTATCATAGTACGCAAAGATCATTTTTGTCCAGAATTCACACACGTATATTTCTTTGTATATATGTCAGTTGATGGTACAAAATCTTTCTAATTT